TTTTTTCCCGCACCCCTACTAATGACTATCTGCTATGTCTAAAAAGCACTAAAAGACCCTCTCAGCACAGATTTCTCTCTTTATCCTTCTCTTTCTACCTGCTTTCGTCTGTGTGATGGAGCAGCACTGCAGTTAACAGTGACCACACGGACTGGTTAGCCATATTAGCACTATTAGCTAAAGCTAATCTCGCTAAATCAGATTTCAGTTTGCAGTGACTATTAAGTTTAAAGTGATATATTGTTAGTTTGTCTTGTTCTTTCTCATGTATATGCAGGTAAAATTGATTGGATGGATAAATTCTGTTATCAGTTATTGTCCATATTCCTGTTTGAGTGACAATGTCTGTCCCAGTTATGAATTAAATTTTTCCACACTCTGAAGAATGTTTGTGTGGAGGAAGATAAAAAAATGGTGTAAAGCAGAACAAAATGTAACGCTTAATTGCATTTCTTCATCTTATTGTATTGCACTGAGGACTATAAGGTCATAGTTACACTGCTGCCATCAGTAACAGGCATCGACCCACAGTTTCCACAGTAGAATATGAAGCCTTTGCTAAAAACACTTATTTATGTGACTTGTTGTTAATGTCCCTCGGAAATAAAATAAACATTGAGAACAGTGAAGGTTCTGCTAAAGAAGAACCCAGTAAAGCACTGATACCATATAGAGCCTCTACGCTTACTCAGCTTCAAAGTTTGATGGGGAAACTGTTGACTGATGTTCATGATTAAAGGCTCTGGGAAACCATAATGAACAAATTAAAATGATTACCATCATCTAGCTCAGGTTCTTAGGGAAGTAAAACCATAGATATCATGTACCGGTCAGTCCGAATAACCTCTTATAGTGACTAAGTCTGACCCAGGCCATCTTTAATAATTCTTTTAAAGTTGATGTAATGAATGTAAAGTGCACAAACGAGCCTTCCAGGTCTTTGTTTGTTTGATCATAGTTTACAAGTGCAGAGTGAAGAGTGAGCAGAGTAGTGATCACCTCACTCACTACTAATAAAAGTGACCTGCTCGGTCATTTATTTTAGTCAGAATTCATTCTTTGATGCTTCTTGAGTCAAATATTGCCTACATCCTTTATTTTGTTCAACTGCAAGAATCAGCAGTGTTGGAAGGGTGAAGCTGTCATGTCTACCAGAACATCAGGAAATATCAAGGCAGCAGTGACTCTCATACTACTGACAGGTAAACTTTTACATTTTTATATTCATTTGTCAGAATTGAAAGCAGGACTAGATTGTTTGCACACAATATTTGAAAGAAATGTTACAGCAGCTGCAGAAGCGAGTGATTGATAACTGCATCATTTTATTATTTGTGTGGGCGCGAGTGGCGGCGCTAGTCGCCTAAATGTATTTAAAAAAGCTTACTTATTGAACTTTGGAGTCATCTGAGAACAGGTTTCAAGTCTTTACACCGGGAACAGCATCATCCAAGGCCTTTACTGGCCTCCCACTAGCTCAAATATAAAATTCATTAACAAATGATCAGACAGTACTGTTACTGAACACTTACTACTGTAGCTGTTGTATGTTTATAAAATTGTTTCCAAATGTATTCAGTTCTGGTCCTAAAGGATCAGCGTCCAGCTTCCCTGCTCAAATACACCTACAAAACCTGGCAGTTAACTGCCAAAAACCTCTGGAGTTCAACATTGCAGATCTAGCTGATGCCAGATTCACTTGAAGTTTATAAAATGTTCTGAAACGAAGCCTTTACTTTGTTTTAGAACGTTCTGGTTTTCTAGACTTGCTGAAGGGCTTTTCTAAAAAGATATATAAATGTAATAAGAACGCACACTGACAGAGAAGATCTCTATAAAAAAGCTTTAACAGATGTAACGGGTAGGAGCTAAGAGGACTAGGAGAGTTTAAACTATGGGGCACTAGGACCCAGCAGCCGTAGCTAATACAACGACAGTATTACCTGGCAGCACTATGGCCAACTGAGGGACAGTAGGACCCAGCGGCATGGTAGCTCTTACAAACTAACGCCGTTTCATTGCTTCTTTATTAAGCTCAACTGTGGCTCACTTGAGTCCGTAGCTCGTGGTGTGTGCGTGTGTGTACATGGGAAAACGTGGGGAGTTTGGCGTCCTTGTTTTAAACCAAATTGGTTTGTTGGATAGGACAGATTTATGAATCTCTCTCAAGCTAAAACTGGGTGCTACATTTGTTTAGTTCCCCTGTCCTGTGAGACTGGTGTGCCAGGAAAAGGAAAATATCCTGTCTTGAAGGTTGCAGTTGCCTTCTGCCGTCAAGGTGGTTGAAGCTTGAGTTTGGTAAGCAAGCACTGAACACTGAATGTACTTTTATGATGTATCACTGTTACTTGTCTAGTTTATTTTTAGCATAATGAGACGTTTCGTGCTATTTTTGCTAACTAGAGTTAGAGATCTCTATCAGTGTTCTGAACTGTACAAATCTCCATCTAAACTACTTCAAACTATTTTTAAGCTGAGGTCTGTTTCTTTAAGTTTTGTATATTTAAACTGGAGATACTCATTATCAGTCATTATCAAACTGAGTTCAGTTCCACTGTGGTTTTTAACACCACCACCTTCACACGCCCTTGTGTTGCTCATAGCAACAGCAGCAGTGGTTCACACTGTGGTCACACTGTCAGTTAGAGCACGAGAGTTTCCCCCTCACTTTTGAACTTTTGAACGCGCGCGCGTGTGTGTGTGTGTCATATGAGAGGCCGTTTAGGCCAAAATCCTAACTAACCTCTCACACTGACCATCAAACTCTCTCACACACTATCAAACTCTCTCACTCACTATCAAACTCTCTCACACTATCAAACCTCACACACTATCAAACCCTCTCACACTCACTATTTAACTCTCTCACACTATCACACGTTTTCTGATTGGCCTAGAGAGTTATCATTTAGCAGTTTCTGATTCGCTCATAGTCAAATATGCCCGCCCCCCATGTGCGGTAGTTCACTCTTAAAAACGAGACAGTTCTTCAAAGGTCCTTTAGTAAAGACAGTGGTTCTATATAGAACTAGGAACACAAAAAGAACCATTTGCGTGATTAAAGAGCTCTTTGTATGGTGAAATGGTTCTTCAGATTGATAGACACTGTGCTGTAGATGGTATGACTGAAGTCATTTTGGTGCTATAGCGGTCCGTGTATTCTCGGCTTTTATTCTGTTATTGTCAGTGGAAAATTTACAAAACAGCGTTTAGAGTTTGATGGTGAGTGTGAGAGGGTTTGATGGTGAGTGTCTCCATGGTGTTTTCTCGCTGAAGATGAGTTCTGCCCTCTCTGCCTCGGCAACAACTGCTTAAAGGCTGTCGGGTGCAGTGAGTGTGTCTGTCCAACCATTGTACTCAGCTCCACCTGTAGCAAGCTTATCTGCTCTCCCTTAGCCTCCACCTAAATCAGCTTCCAATCAGCTCTATTCAGTTCCAAGTTCAGTGGGTGAGTTTGAGCAGGGAAATGACCAAATTGCCAGACATTGGCCTCCAGGACTGTAATGAAATACTCTGGACTAGATTATTTGCAAACAAGCTTTAGAAAAAACACACAAGCTACAGTAGCAAGTGAGTAATAACTGCACTGTTTTATGATCTGTTCAAGCTTCTTATTTTTTATGATATTTTCTCCTTTAATGTTTGTGTTATAAACTACACAAATCTTCACAAACTACTTTACACTGTTTTAAAACTGAGTTCTGTTTCTTTAATGGTTTGTATAATTTATCTACAGATCTTTATCAGTGCTTGTTTGTGTGTTTTAAATTGAGCTCTCTTCCTCTGTGGTTTTCACATAACCAGCCAACTTTATACGCTCTTGTGTTTCCTGTAGCAACAGCAGCAGCATTAACACCCCTGCTGAACGGTCCAGTTAAGATCAGTAAGATGATGGTCAATGCGGTTGACAAGCTTAATATCCAGCTGGACTCACCAAAAAAAAAAGGGTTAGGTTTCAGCTTAATAGTCAACCAAACTTGGCACGTTTAAACAGCTTCAGCTGATCAAGCTGTTTTTCAGACATTCTCACACTATGACAACCTAGTAAAACAAATACTTCTACAGTGTCCCAACATTTAAAAACACAGGCTAATGACATTAAAAGAAAAAGAAAAGTTCTTACTGACAGCCATGACTGAAACAAAGGGCTTGATATAGGTTACAAACAATAGTGAACACCTGAGAGAGGGAGGAGACAGGAACTACAAGCATGTAAGAATCCTAATAGGGAAGGAGGGGAAAAGTGTGGAGCAGACAAAACAAAAACAAAAACACATGGCAAAAAGGAACATGGTCACAACACAGGGAAAGAAACAGGCACAACCAGATGGGGAAACTAACAGTGTGTCTTCTTAAATAATGGAAGAGACTTTAATCTGAAACAGGGAGGTGCCACAAACACGTCTTCTGGGTCTCTGCTGCTCATTACAGCTTATAAGTGTGAGGAGAGCAGTGAGTCTCTTACCTCTCAGAGCTAAAACAGTGAGACATTTACTTCAGTCAGGATTCATTCCCTCACACTTTCCTGGTAAAGTTTTGCCTTATTCTTTATTCTGTTATCTTCTAGACCTGCTGCCATGACTTGCTTAACATCAGGAAATACCACAGCAGCAGTGACCCTCATATTACTGACAGGTAAACTTTTACATTCTTATATCCATTTGTGTGAACATAAAGCTGTAGATACAAACTCTTCATAAAATTCATATTATAAACATGAATAGACTGAAGCAGCGGTAGATCAGCGCTGTTCAGTTCCAAGTTCTGGTCCTACAGGACTGTAGTAAAACACTCTGGACTAGATTTTTTGCAAAAACAAGCTTTTGAAAAAACACACAACAATGACAGTAGCAAGTGAGTAATAACTGCACTGGTTTATGATCTGTTACAGCTTGTTATATTCATATTATATATTTTCTCCTGTAATGTTTGTGTTTTAAACTAAACAAATCTCCACATAAACTACTTTAATCTATTTTAAAACTGAGTTCAGAGGTTTGTATATTTATCTACAGATCTTTATCATGAGTGCTTGTTTGTGTGTTTGAAACTGAGGTCACTTCCTGTTCTTTTTTTTTTACATAACCGGTCAACTTGTGTGTATATATACACGCCCTTGTGTTTCCTGTAGCAGCAGCAGCAGAATTAACACCCCTGCTGACCTGTCCAGCTCTGATCTGCTTTTGCTGCTAGCTGGTTTCAGATGGTCTAAGCTGGTCTTTGTTGCTCAGTGTGGCTGACAAGCTGAACATCCAAATGGATATAAATAAAAACAAAGAAAAAGCTTGATGGTTCACAAAGATATCAAAAGGCTCTAAGTATTTACATGACATTCCTTTTTCAGGGAACAAATAATTGGTTAACAACTTACAGCTGTTCAGTAGAAGTAAATTAGGCTTTGAAAGTTCATGCAAACAGTTGCTACAGGTGTCCCAGCCTCTGTTGATTACTTACAAACCTTCTGTCTGGACAACAGCAGTGCTGGAACAGACTGAATTATTACACCCTCTAGGGCAGTATTTGGACACTGTTATAACCCTTTAAGGTGCAGGTCTTTCCTGACAGAGAAAGCCAGAGTGACAGTGAGTACAGTTTCCTGCACCATCAAAAGGCACTTAAAACTGGAGGAAACTCTGACAGGAAGCAGTGTGACAGCTCAAAGCCCCAACAGAGTCAGAAGACAAGTTTCAGTTTAAACTGTGAATCGAAGACTTTAAACTGCAGGTTTGACTGGTTGAGTAACAGCAAAGGCCAGAATAATTAAGCTCTGAAACACAATGAGGCTCATTTACTAATATCTTCTTAAGTTTTATCTTAAATGTGTTCTTGAGAAAAGTCCCAAGAGAAAGTCTACGTCAGATTCATGATATGAACTGTTCACACCTTTGTGCTCTTGAGTGTGTGTAGATTCTGTTCTTACCTAAGAACAAATCCCAATAAAGAAAACACTGGTGAATGTCAGAATCTGACAAACTACATAAGAACGGTTGGTGAATGAGGCCCATTGTTATTGTAACAGACATGCAGTGTTTTAATCTAGAATAGCTGTTCAGACAAACACTATCTAAAATCCATATGAGGATGATGTGGTCAGCATGGTCTTTTTTCAGACACCTCTGGTTGCAAATGTTCTTAATAGATGGAACATAAATTGGGCTTTTTTCAGTACTAACCAAAGTCTGTCGGTGACCACAGCCAAATGGTGCTGCCTACCTAGAGGACAACCCCTCTGGCACAGTGAGCTAGACTATTAGAAAGGTGGACAGTAAAAGGCAAAGTTAAAGACAAAGCATGGAAGTTGGCTGTTCATGATAAATTCAAAGCAAAATCGGGTCAGTTTCCATCACTCACCCAGCCTGTACTGTGTTTAAAGTGAGCAAATAAAAGCAGAGTTTTACTTCAAGAAAAATGGTGCTTCATTTTGACTAATTCAATCTTTATTTTTTCTTTTAGTCCATCCCAGAAAATGGCCGCCTTCAGCCTCAGCAGGTTGCGCTTTCAGAGCTGCTTTATATTATTACTGTCGATAACCTTCATTGTGCCTGTCATGATCTATGTGTTTGGCATCCGCTCTGAGCCGTCCACAGTGTGGTTCCACAATTTCGCCAAGTTAATCAGGTTCCAAAGAGTCAGAAAGCACACACTAATAAATATGACTTGTCTCACAAGACACAACATGACAGACAGGCTCAGTATGGAGTCCATGACAGCTGTTCCAGTCAGAGAAGCATCATCAATCTGTTACCATGAAGCGCATCCACACAACTACCGCTTCATCATAGACGAGCCCCATAAGTATGAACAAGAGAACCTATTTCTGGTCCTCATGGTTCCAGTGGCTCCACACGAACTGGAGGCTCGCAACGCCATCCGGAGCACATGGGGTAATGAGAGCGTGGTCCAAAACAAAACCATCATGGTGATCTTCTCGCTGGGTCTGCCTGGGATCGAGGCTGAGAAACAACAGGAGGAACTAAGGCTGGAAAGCCAGCAGTACCATGACCTCGTCCAGAGCGACTTCATAGACTCGTACCTCAACTTGACAATAAAGACCATGGTAATCATGGACTGGCTGGCCACACACTGCCCACAGGCATCCTACGCTATGAAGATAGACTCTGACATGTTCTTGAATCTGGAGAACTTGATGAGCTTGTTGCTGAGACCTGATACGCCTAAAGAAAACTACATGACGGGAAAGGTTATGTGGAACATACCGGTCATCCGGGACAAGAACTCCAAGTGGTACGTGCCGAAGGAATTATATGCTGAAGACTACTACCCAACATACCTGCTGGGGATGGGTTATGTCTTCTCCAATGACCTTTCAGAGAAGATTGTTGAGGTTTCGAAAGAAATAAAGCCGTTTAACATAGAGGATGCATACGTGGGTGCCTGTCTGAAACGAATAGGAATTTCACCTTCAACTCCTCCCAATCCCTCCCAGTTTAAGGACTATTTTAGCGGTAAGTATAAACGAGAAGAGTTTGCCAGTGTGATCACCACCATCCTTAATTCCCCACAGCAGCTGATCACATTCTGGCAGGACCTGAAAAGGCCTACATGAAGGACTTGAAGGAAAAAGACTTATAATGGATTATTTTTGGGATATATTTGGCTGACATTTTCTTACAATGCTTTTGCATTAATTGTACGGGAAAACTCCTGTATCTTCTTTCAATTTAATCAGAACTGAAAAATGCTGTTAAGTATTTAATAGAGTTTAATAGTGATTATGAGGGGGTTTGATAGCGAGTGTGAGAGGGTTTGGTAGCGAGTGTGAGAGGTTTGATGGTGAGTGTGAGAGTACATTAATAGTACATTAATAACTGCTCATTAATACATTAATAACTGCTCATCTCATGTTTTCCATTTATACGCCCTGATCACACGTTACATTTAAGGACACATGCAGGTTTATTCAGTAACTACAGACGAAGATTCAGATCTGTATAAACAGCATATTAGAGCATTTGGTGATTTAAGGAACATTGTTGAAGTGAAAGAGTCTTCAGATCAACTCTGGATCATTATGTGTATTGATTATTGATCAGAGCTGTTTACTGAGCTTAAGGATGATGAGTTTATCTCATACTCCAACAGGGTCAGTTTTCTGGAGCTGTCCAGAGTGCTGAACTTCTTCACTTCTTCTTCACAACTTCATTATGGTAATATCTTTAAGCTTTCTTCTGGATCACTAACCTCCATCAGATCCTGCTCCTTCCTGTCAGTCTTCTTCAGGTTCTCTCTCTCCCTCTTTTCCTGTGTTGAGTAATACGTTAATTTTAAACTCAGATTTACTAGAATTCAGGGAAATAATGAGAGATCAATCAATTCATGTTTTCTGTTTGTTTTAACTGGTAAAAATCTTCTGATCTGACTGGAGCTACAGCCTCTTAATTTATTAATCATTTCTTAACAATATATCTAAAATCTTTACACTGACTTTACCATACTGTAAACAACAACAGATGACAAATATTGGTGTCACTGATTCTAATTACTGAGAAGAAATATAAAAAACAAAGAATATAAAGAGCTGTCAATAATGTTATATCTGTCTCTGTCGCTCACACTCTCACTATGAAGTGAAGTTATTAGTGTTAACTGCTTTTCTTTGCCTCGCATAAACACAAAGTGAGTTAGCTAGCAAATAAGCCATCGAGTAAAAACCTGATGTCCAGCTTTACTGACCATAGTTTGCCACAAATCCATATTGTAGGTGGATATTCACTCTGTTTAACACTGTTTCACTCTGTATATTACAGATTTAGAATAAAGTCTGTTTATGTTAATGAGCCTTTAGCCATAACTCTGTCACATCGGTTGCCCAGCAGTCAAATCAGAAACCCTCCTCCAGGTCTGATATGACTGGCTTATAGTAAATCTGGTAGCAGAGCTCTGTCATAGCACAGCAGAGGCAGCACTGCATTAGAGCAACAGCAGTGCCTCCCTCAGGTCACTCCCTGCAATCACAGTATATTGTAAACTTGGAGAGGTGATGGCAATGATAGAATAATGAAGAATGAATGAAAATTAACTAAAGATGATTTGAACTACTTATGTAGGTTTTTTTTTAAAAGGGGGGGGGGCAAATAACATTTAGAGCTAAAGGACCCCTAAAACTGGCCAAGCTACGCCTATGAATTTGGTATAGAGCTGCTGTCTGTGTTTTCCATTTCAGACAACCCATTGATTAGGCCCAGAGTCCATTTTTCTTCTCTCAGAATTGATCCCACCCATTGTAAATCAAAATGTGATTGGCTGATTCCACTGGCACTTTGTTATTATGCTTGCTATTAGGGATTTTCTTGAAGTTGTAACCAATAGCTTGCTTAGCTATATCTACGTATATACAGGATTAGGATAGCTACTGAAAAATTAGTAGTTAGCTACTTTTTAGCTACTTTCAAAGCGCGATTGTCAGAATGTTTGTGAATCTCCACCTGACACACCAAACAAGCCCAACTGACAGTGTGAAAAAGACACTGCATTTAATCATGAGCCAGAAAGAAACATACAATTGAAAAACTGCAAATATACAAAAAGATCACCAAAAACTGAGTTTAAGTGTAACCAACAATCAAACTTACACAACCAAGTCAGTCATTCCAGGTTTTCTAACAAAAATCAACAAACATAACTGAATACAAACCAGATAATTCTGTGCAAAGAATTGTCAACTGTTGCAATAAAACTGCTCTAATTTAAACATTTCAGCAGGATCTGTACAGTCATGACATTCAGAGTCTTTATTAAACTTCAGCAACACTTCAGCCTCAAAATCCTCATCAGTGACTCTGACTCTGTTTGGGGTGAGAATCAGGCCTGAATTATCTCTCCACTGCTGCAGAGCTGCTGCGGCTCCACAGCAGAACTAGATATTTAGCTAAAATAACATAACATGATCCTCCTTTACTGTAAAATCATTATAACACACAGTTCTAACAGTTTTCACAATAAATGGTCTTAAACGCTGGAGTTAACGCATAACTGCTAATTCACCCTTTAATGCTGAAGACTGACTCACAGACTGCTGGTCACCACAGCAACACAGACAACGAAAAGGCAAATAGAAAGATTTAAGACGAACATCGATAATTTGGAGATGAATGGACTTATTTGCAGTTATAATCACTCCAGCTGGTTTCCTGATACGTTTAATCTGCAACAACTAGTGAAGCTGAAGTCACTTCTTATTCTGCAGCTTCTCTTTCGAATTCTCCCGTTCCACCTTAAATGACACAGCAGTACATTCTGGCGCCTCAGGCAGCATTTAAGGTGGAACGGAAGAATTCGTAAAAAGTCAAACATTGAGAGACATTTTACACGAAACTTGCGGAAAAGTTTCCTGCCTGAGGTGCGAGAAAAGCGGCTACAGCTGAGCTAAAACTTAAAGCAGAGCAAAGTTGGTCTGCGTTTTTGTTTATATTACATTTTTAGCCTGTACTAGGAAATCAGCACATACTGACACATACTTACAGCCAAGATGGTAAAATGGACATAAAATGTTGTGGCTCCCAATGTGGTTTTATTTTTATTGAAAGGACAAAATGTCTCTTGTTAACATTTCGGCTTTCGACCCCAGAGCTAACATGATTTTATTGAATAACGAACTAAAATTACAGACATATTTTAATTCTGAAAGACTAGAAGGCCCTGAGTGTTCCTCTCTGATATATGGTCCCACTCAACGCCGCAGTGACTGTCTTGATGTACAAAGTGGTATTACACACACAGGATGGGCCTAGCTGGTTAGCATGCTAACTTCAGTAAATATCTCTCCAAACAGGTACATAGATGTCTTTGGTATAACATCATTTCTTCGCATTACGTTGATAATTTTACAAATTGCACTTTTAAGGCAGACTCCACTGTTCACTGCTGCTTATCTTACCACAGACTGCAGGCTATTACCAGCATGGATTATGTTCCACGGTTAAATAAATGGGATGCACCGTTGGCTACCTGCACTTTTATGTACCCCTTTCGTTAATGTTACAACAATAAATCCTTTGGAGCAAGATACAGTCAATGAATTAAAAAAAAGAAAGCCTGTAAAGTTTACAGGGTCCTGTCTGGAAAAGTCACTCAGAAGTTTTGTTTAAACCATTTAGTAGAACGTTTGCTGACAGGATTACCAGGATACCAGGCAGATTTTCTTGAAGCACCATTTTGACAGCCGCCTGTTAACTGTTGTGCTTCCTTCTATACGTTTTCTCAGTTTATTCTTCTGCACCATGAACATTAAATCGTAAACTTAGTAACAACAGAAAAAAATTCTAACTGAGCAAACTCCAACACAAGCAAGGCTAACGTTAATAACCTGTGGCCATGATATACTTTCATGTTAATATGGCTGTTAGTCTGCTGTAGAGGTTGGATCTTCATAGTTGGTTTAGTTTCTTCCTCTCATGTTCTGTTGACTGTGCTGTAGATTGGGGTTTCATCATTCCTGCAAAATGTTTGTTGAACTGTCTGTTACTGAGTTGCTCAGTATTTTAACTGATTTATAATATCCAATAGAATGTTTACATACACTGAATTGCCATTTTATCATGTCTATCTCTGCTTCCATGCACTGATTTTTCAGTCTCACTGGAAACAAACCATTGTTTATGAAGCTGGCTGGCAGCGAGTAATTGCCATATCTGCACACCAACTAGCAATAAGACTTTCAGAGTGAGATATATTCACTGAACTCATTCATTCATTTTGAAGCTGTTTGTAGCAAGTCAACTAGATCCTCTTGCCTGTTTCCCCACTGTTGTTACTTTCTTTATGCAAATAGTTTGTGGTAGGTCACATGGCCCTTATCTGTTAAAGCAGATGCTTCTTCAAATCTACATGGCCTCAGTTACAAGACTGTATTTCAGTCTTATATAGTCTGCAGTGGAACTGGTTTCATCTAATGTAGCATTTCCACACTAAAAAGTACTCTGGATAGCAAATTTTGCTGCCTGTTCACTAGAATGTTTCTGCAGCATGTTACGACCCTCTGTTGTAATAGCCTTTCTTTGTATCATTGTCATTTTGGTGTTTTTTCCATTGTTATATTATGTGCAGGTACACAATTGGCCACTCGAGGGCGCCTGGCTTTATAAAAGGTCACCAAGCTTCCATCTCAAGAGACGTTCAGGGCTCTATCCCCTCTGACCTGACCTGGAAGAACACCTGTCCAGACCAGCCCGGCACTCTTCACGCTACTCTTCGCTCCATTTTGTGTGTAAAGTTTGTGAAAGCTTTGCTAGATTTTGTGAAAGTCTTGTGAACAGTTTGAAAGTAGGGAACGAGTGCCATTTTGTTTTGGTTACCGTTTCCCCTGGTTTTAAAGTGGGGAGATAGGGTAAGTCTTTGTATTTTGCTTTGCTTTCAGGTTCAGTTAGTTTTTGTCATCATTAGTAGTTTTGTTTGTTATTTTGGCGAATGCTCATCCCTGAAGCCATCATTTTCATTCAGTTTAGCCGACTACAAACTTGCATACTTCTAGCAAAGTTTAAATAAAGCTGCAGTTTGCTAATTTAAATGGTGTCCAGTGTCTGGTCTGGCAGCTGGTCTGGGGAGAGAGCCCACTCTCATTTCTCTTACAGCCTGACCCTAGACCGGGTCGTAACAGGCAGCATTTCATTATTAAACTGAGGCACTGTCTTTGACTAGTCAACAGCTACCACAGTGCCAACTAGTGGACATATTAAGTGTCTAGCCTATGCAACCCCTAGTGCCAGGATCATCAAGTACTGGCCTGTGAGCAAGTTTTTCCCATGCCGCAACCCACTCTCCAAAACTGTTTTTTCAGTTCTATTAAAATGATACCACTGGGAAAAGCAAAAGGGATGAACATTCTATTTTTGATATTCGAGCATCTATAAGTGATAATGAAGACATATTT